AAAAAAAAGATAAAGGACAGAGTTTTCGGCGCTGATCAACCCATTTTTCAGTTTTGTCGTCTTACTCGACTTCCACTCAGAATCGTAGGGGCCATTTGATCCCTAGGAGCCTACGCAACGGCTTGCATTGACCAGCTGACGTAAAACTCCCAGACAAGTCCCGATCCAATTAGCCGAACCCAAGGGAACGGAAGGCTTGGATGACGTGGGCGAGTACCGATCCGGAATTGGAACCCGGACCATGCGTGCATGATAGTGCGCCTGATGCCTCATTTCCACCCTTGAAATAAGACTATACGGACCAGGAAAGGTAAACCCTTCTTTAACCTAAGCAGTTGCTGAAAAATATTGATAGGAAGGTATTAATGCCAGTGGCATGAATATCTAATAGAGTTTTGGCCAACAAGATCAGCATGGCCCTTATTATGCCACTTGACTGACTCCAACCACAACCACTGAGCCCATCCCAACCTGCCGACTTTCTACATAGTGCGCTTAGTCGTTCTCAGAGAACGTTTTGAAGGAATGTGTCTCAAGATGCTAATAATATCCCTTTTCCATTTTCAGTTTACCCAGCGTTGACGAGGATGGCTTGAAAGAAATCACGTAAATCTAGCCAATAAGTCCGAGAAACTTCCTAGTTCTCATGCCAAACAACTTTTCTATAAAAAGAAGAGAGAACGCTATAGACTACACGAAAAAATGGCTAGTCATCACTAATTGAATCCATTTCTGTACATGTTGAGAGAAGAGGAAGCAGTGAATAATGCACATATTTATAGAATTCAAGACGGGCATGGGGGCATTGTTATTTGGCAACTGATGGCCAATATTGCTCGATGTAATGACGGTTGGTAGATTCCTAATAAGACGAGTTTAGGGGGAGAACGACGGGGTGAACAAGTCTGCGAATGGTCTCGGAAAGGAATTTACATTAACAGCACAGCATTCCCCAAGCAAGGAATGTTTAATGTAATATGTTGAGTAATACATGGGGAATTCACCCCCGCTCTTTCGCTCTTTCGCAGAAACACCTTTCCACATTACAAGGTCTCACTGCTGTGCTATTTCAAGGGGCTCCACAGCAACAACACTGCATACATTAAAATTCCTCTTTAAATTAGCATGTTTCCCATCGATATGGGAATGCAAAATAGCCGTATTCAAAAATGACGAAAAATTTAAATTGTATTTTTACTTTACCCTTGAAAGCCAAGTGCAGTACACTGATAGATCATTGTAGAACCAAAAAAAAACTTCATAAAGATCAAAACTTTGTCAGTAATTGCTTTACTTTGCATTAGTACGTAACTAATACTTTTTATTTTTCGAAAATTCACGGCCAATAAAGAGGGGCGGAGCTCAGGGGGACGGAACTTACGTGCGTCCGAGGGTGCGCGCGACAAATTGCGCGGCGAAGTTCGTGATGATTTGGACTTTCATTGTGAGACTTTGGCGCCTATCATTGGGGCCCAAATTCGAAGTAGAGTAGATTACTAGTATCAGCTGACCCTACTAAACTACTCCACTTTGAGTTTGGACCCCAATGAT